AGGTCGAAGTTAACAGAAGGCGAACATAGATTTTACTGGTGAAGGGCGAAGTTTACAGTAGGCGAGCATATATGTTACTGGTGAAGGGCGAAATTAACAGGAAGCGAACATAGATTTTACTGGTGAAGGGCGAAGTTAACAGTAGGCGAACATATATTTTACTGGTGAAGCGAACATAGATTTTACTGGTGAAGGGCGAAGTTAACAGTAGGCGAGCATATATTTTACTGGTGAAGGGCGAAATTAACAGTAAGTGAACATAGATTTTACTGGTGAAGACCGAAAATTTGACCAGGCAAAGCTTTCCCGGAATACAGTATTCCTCTATTTTGTCTAGCAATAGAATAGAAAATAACATATATGTGACATTCTTGTAAATAACTGATATGCAACAATTAATGGACTTTTTCAAAACCAAATGAAGCAATGTTAAATAAGAAGGAGACCAACTCATCCCTTTGGGTCAATAAAATATACCGATGTACCATGTCCTAAAATGTACAATTGTTTTTGTTATTTACGTATCATTCAATCAAACGTATAAGATAAACAAAATAAATACCTTTCAGGTTAAAAAGTTGTCTTGAATAACAACTCGCATGTTCAGGCATAGGAATGGTTCCTGTTCGTTGAAAATCCTCGCGTTCCTGTTTGTACAGGTCGGAAGTTTCACTTTCCAGTTCATACCAATCTGGATATGGGCCTGGGAAACCTTCTATTACCTTATAATCACCGACTCTGTAAAATCGTGCACACATGATTGTATACGTCACACAATTAAAGTTAAACCTACACAGACGTTAAAGATAGTCTTTCAGTTAGTCAAATGAGGCATTGTACCGGTAACGTTAGATTAGATATTAACAGATATTACGGTGAGTTAAGTCACTTTTAATTGTAAAAACAAGAACAGATTTAAATTAGGTGACGTGACAATTTAACTTAATTTCATTTTTAAAGACCGGAACACATTGTCTTATTCTTCGTGAACATTTTCATATAACTCTTTCTTTTGTTCATATTTTCATAAAGCTAAGGTTGTGTTGACTCTTTGGTATTCTTTTTTTTTTTTCATCACGCAGTAGAGTTTTATATGAATATTTTGCTAAAATTGTTGTTATTTCTTCTGTTCTTATACTCAATTAAAAAAAATTCTCCTTTTTGTATGAGGTAAATACGATTATTTTTGTCCCTTCGATATATCATGTCGCTCGGGGGCAAGGATTAATCTCGCAGCGTGATTTGTTTCCTTCATACATGTACATAGATAATGACATGTGATGATGATAATACGTTTTATAATAGATAATTTATTGTGTTTTACTGTGAGATGTTTTCAGAAGTTATTAATAACAAATATAAATCTAGTATAGATGTTGTACATGTATAATTTTATGATAAGTTATTTTGCTATACGGTATAATAACAGATGGAAGAAGACTGGTTACCTAATGGCGGCGTGTCCAGTAATGGGGGAACTCGAATCGTCTAGATTGTATATAAACTCTGTCCTCTATGAAGGGCAGCCTCTCCGTAGGTTCTCCCATTGATCAATACCATCAATGCATGTTTCTGTTTTTAAAAAACCCCCATAAAAATGCATCTATTATCAATGGTATCAAGTTTCATGTACCAGAACGAGGTATTTGTGTATGTGTGATGTTTCGATGACTGGTACGATATGTACTCTGTTTCCCTCATCAGACTAATTAATGAAGGTGACA